CACACACACACACACACACACACACACACACACACACACACACACACACACACACACACACACACACACACTATGGATATCTCTCTTCTTTTTCTGTTCTTGCTTTTGTGCTCAGCTCCTTCAAATTTTAACACAGATGTCGAACATTAAATTAATCCCGTACAGAAGTTAGGAGTTAAGAGGGAATCTGTTGTTCAGACCTTTTTGTGTGTGCACCTGTTAGCTGGCCTGATCAGAGGACCTTTTTCCTGACAGGGAGCGTTCCTGCCCTGTCATCTGCATTTGTGCCTTTACATTGCAGACCGGTAATGATTGTGTGACTCTCTCTCTCTCTCTCTCTCTCTCTCTCTCTCTCTCTCTCTCTCTGTGTGTGTGTGTTGGTGTGTTGGAGGGGTGATGTGTATCAGAGCAGGTCACAAAGATGATGGAATGCCACAGTAAGTGGGAGACTGTTCCACTCAGAGGGTTCTAGAGATTGGTCTCCTCGTTGCTCTACGCTACTTAACACAGCTTAGAAGCAAAGTTCAACCAAATTACCATCTGTTCCTGAGACTGACAGTCCTCTTTTAATYACAGTATGTGATGTTTGCAGCCTTTCTGTGCAGTTTTTGAAAAAAGGTAGATGCTTTTTTTTAAAAAACTTGAGTTCAGTCCTTGTTTATCTCACTACTCTGCTACAACAGTTTGTTGCATGTATTTTATTCACGTGTACAGCATTGATTACATGCAATATATTCTTTTCTCCCAAAATTGGTTGATTTGTATTGTTAAACACCAAAGAAATTGTGTTTGTTTTATTTTATGTAATAGCTGAGTATTACTATTTAGTCAATATCATCCATCCATCATCCATCCATCCATCCATCCATCCATCCATCCATCCATCCATCCATCCATCCATCCATCCATCCATCCATCCATTATATTCTACCTGCTTCTTTCTTTCAGGGTCATGAGGGTCAATGCTGCCCATGTCCAGCAGTCCATTATTCTTCTATTTCTACCAAAATTTGGCAAATTTAGAAAATCAGCAATAGTGTGCAATGAGTTTTGGTTTTGGTACCTCAAGATGTTRTCATTTTTGTATTTTTTCATCCAGTGTTTCTCATTGCAATATGACTTGTGATTTGGTCTCAAATCCCTCCAAGTGCAGAGGGCACACCCAAACTAACACTGACTTCCMTTGTATCTGAGCTCAAACGTTTATCTTTAAAACTGGAAGGATCTCGTAATCATARTAGTCATACCTCATATCATCTCATAATGTTTGTCTTTGTTTGTTTACCACATAGAGAAAAATATCATGAAACCCTAGACAGATTTAAATTACATTTTCAAAAATCAAGGGCATCAAATGAGTATATATGTTGTCAGTGAAATCAAAATCACTACAACCCAAATTAGAAATGCAAATTGAAAACATGACAGAGCATCCTTCACACTGAAGTGATCTTGATGTAAAATAAGCTCTGACCTCCYTTTGAAATAGCTCTGAAGAAAAGGTATCAGCTGTGAAGAAAAGTAAAAAAGAATTTGTTTAATCCTTTTAAAATATAAATGCTTTATTTTTCACCACTTGGCACAGGAATAACTGCAGAGCAGACTTGGAAACTGTGTTTTGGTTGTCAAGGTGCTGCTCCATTTTTTTTGTTTTTTAGGGAGAGCCCTTTCATGATGAATAAGAAGTGAGACAGGACAAACAAGAGATAAAAAAAAAACCTTCAGGGAGTTCCAATAAAATGTGACWGACAAATCACAGCTAAACCAACAGCTGCTTTGACCGAACTTCTAACTGAAAAAACTTCTTCGACTTCCAGCTAAAGTCTGTTGAGGTTCACGTCTGCCTTTTTTCTGTCCAGCTGAATGGTTGTCACAGTTACCCTACAAAGGCCTCTTTATCTTCTCACTCACTCTTCATCTGTCTTCAACTGTGTCTCTCACACTCTTTCTTGTCTACTGCTGTTTTCTCTCCTTGAGTGTAAGCTGCAACTCAGTATGCTGCGGGGAGATTCGTGTGACTCAGAAAGTACAGAAAGTAAAGGGGGACAGATGAATTGCATGCATCTTTTTGTGTTTCAAAGTAAAAATAAAGGAGTGAAAGGCAATGCAGAGCATTTCCCTTTMCTGTGCATCCTCCTCTTCAGTGACATCACTGTGTTTTAGTTTCCTTAATGCATGATGCCATTGGCAAAAAAATGTGACCGATCAGTGTAGCTTATTATGGGGCAGGCAAAYTGGCTTTAGAGTTCAAAAGTCACTCAGGCTATGGCCCTGTGTGTACAACAACAAAGAGTTATTCACAAGAGGAAATACTCAGCTGTGGGCTGATTGCTTGTAAGATATGAACCTACAGGATAATGTTGGCAAAAATCAGTCTGCAGTTTTCTAAAAGAAACAGAGGTATTAAATTTTATTATGTACTGATATCAAGTAGATTTACTGGTTACAATTGTGCTGTTATTAAGTCAATAAGATGCTATTGCTATGGATAACAGGGCTTTGGTGGGTTACAAGTGACAGGACTGTCTGCAGATTCATATCAGCTCTCATTAGTATGTCTGTGTGATTGATGTSTCACTGTAGAGTTTTTGTTGAAATCATATAAAAGATAAAACAATAGACAATTGTTCTTATTCACTAATGTGCGTGTGTTGGTGAAATACTGGAACTGTCCTAATGGTGTCTACGTATATTTTGCGCTTAATGTGTAAGATGTGTTATTAAATGCATAAAGTCTCAAGTATTTTCCCTCAGACATTAATGCAGTGTGTTTGTCACACATTCCCTGCTCTTCCAGGTAATGATCTCTTCTTGGTGGCAGTCCACGAGCTGGGACACGCCCTGGGTTTAGAGCACTCCAGCAACCCCCTGGCCATCATGGCCCCCTTCTACCAATGGATGGAGACTGACAACTTCCAGCTGCCTGATGATGACCGGCTAGGCATACAACAAATCTATGGTACTATAGATACTCTTTCATTTGTGTTGTTATCACTGATTGATTCTTCTAATGTTAAGGCAGTAAAATCCTTATCTCTGTGCAGAAAAGCATGAAACGTATACTTTTTTTTCCAAATGTAAACCAATTAACACTTAGTGATTAATAAAAAACAGCATTCTCCAAAAGATTAAAATGTTTTTCAAAATAATCGGTCAGTGTCCACTTTCATAAAATTTATGATTTTTCCAAATAATATTTACTGTAATACTTTTAAAATGGTTTTCAAATGACAGAGGTTTTTACATATTTAAATATAGCTTATTGTCTTAATTTTGATCAAAATTCAAATGATGTAATGAGATAAACTTGAGTGTTTAAATGAATCTATGCTCATCAATAGATCAGTCTTGTCTGTGTTGTTAAATGACATGTCCATTTGCTTTCTGCAGGTCAACATGACAGTGGCCCTACCCACACACTGCCTACGGTGACCCCCCGCCGCCCCGAACCCAGACCACCTCAATCACCTCCACGTCAACCTGACCGACCCAGGACCACTGACAGACCAGACCACTATGGACCCAATATCTGTGAAGGCAACTTTGACACCGTTGCTATGCTGCGAGGAGAGATGTTTGTTTTCAAGGTAAATCTCCTTTCGAATCAGAGAGTTTGGGTATTTTTCTGTTTAGGAACAACTTTAGATGAAAGAGGTTTTCCTGTCTTAAAGATTCATTTTACATGAGCTCCTTGTTTGAAGAACCAGTCAGTCAGCTGCCGTGATGAATAAGTTATTTGACAAGTCACCCAAGACCAGAGTGCGTTCTTCGCCAAGAAGTCTGTTTTCAATCACGATCTTGTAAATTGCAAACCTACAAGGCCGTGTTCTTTTATGAGACWGAGTGCTGTTAAAAAAGGCAGGGAGTGTTCAGGTGTTTGTCTTTAAAAGCCTCTGGACCCATTCGAAACATTTAAAAGGCATCAGGCAGCAGTGTGTGATTAGTCGAGATTTTACTTGCATAAAAACAGTTGACATTTAAACATATTGTTTTGCTGTTGACAAATTTTTGCACTCAGATGGTTTTGATTATTTATTACAAGAACAGGTTTTTTATGTTGTGCAATCTAGTTTCGTGGTTATTTGTCATTAGGCTTCTGTCTTATTTTCAGTAATCATTTACTGGTCAGTGATGTGAGAAGGTCAGCAGGATTTGTCACTGAGATGAGTTTACTGACACTTGAGCAACCTTCAGAATTGTTTTTCTTCCTGTGTTTTCATTTGTAAGTGACTTACTGTATTTATTCAAGTATAATATGCTAAATTTAATCCATAAAATCATGCAAAAAGTTGGGGGTAGTACTATACTCGGATAAATATTTTTGCTGATGTGTTTTAACTGAAATATCGGCCTCATTCACAAAATCCCTGAGTCCGGAAATGAAACCACTTCGTAAAAAGCGGTTGAAGCGATCTTACCTCTAACACTCCTTTGTGCCTCCGAACGAGATAGTAACAGATCCAAGCAGGCAACATGATGTGAAAAAAAATAAAGAAAAAAAGGCAGTCCAGCATAACGAACTAATGATATTAATGTGCGACCGAGCCGCTCCTGGAACAACAACAAACACATGATCGTCTGGAATGGCTGCCGTCTACCGGTGTTCTGTAAAAGTTGGTCTACCTGAAAAAAGTTTCCCCACCAGAGGGGGCGCTCGCGAGACWCAGAGGATGAGATTGTTGTTGAGTGGGATTCTGATGCCTTTATTACAGAGGAGGAAAACCGGAAACTTTTAATGATACTGATGATGGTGAGCCTGATTTTGRAGGCTTTGWTTCAGCTTCATCCACACTTGATAGAGCCACACACACGTAGYTCTATCTGTTTGTTATATCACACCAGTTAACAAATGAGCATTGATAGCTTATGTTGTAGTTACACATTTGTTGTGTACCTTTTAGTACATATGTTGTTAAAATAAAATTAAAAACTAATACAACAGTCAAATGATAATTTTACTGATATATATAAAGACTGCAAAGGCTGAARAATCCTGAAGTCCATATGAAATTAGAGGTAATATGAGAATTAAWTTTTTTATGCTTTTTAGGCTAAAAATAGTGGGGGTCGTATATACATGAGATCATATTATACACGAATAAATACAGTATTTGGTGATAGTCTAACACAGTACAGCCCTTCAAAGGTAAGGACCCCTTTGCACAAGTTGACAACCCCACAATGCTCTTGTGACCTATTTAACTTATCAGAATGAGGCTGGAAKGTGTCAAATATATCAAAASCTTACTTCAACCAAGCCCTCCAGTGCTTGTGAATCCCTTCTCAGACAACCGCTACCACCACACTCTCCTATTATCTGTTTTTCTACTAAAGTTCTCTGCATGTTCAAAACCACCATGGAGCTATTGCATGTAATGGTTAGCCCACTAGKTTCTTAATATTTACTTGCAGATCTTACCAGGGCCTCACAAAATAATTTAAATCTTGACTGTTTTTTCATTTTCTTTTTTTATAGCAACATCATTACCCAGTTGAAAGAGCTCCTAAGTAATGATGTGCTTCAGAGGCAGAGGTGTGCGGTGTTATAGCATTCAAGGGTGAAGATGTTTGCAAACTAGTGAACTTAGTTTCACTTTTAGAGCTGTTGCTTTTGACAGTAAAATGTCATATTTTACTGAAGCTGCAGATACAGTATCTAACGGTAGAACCATCAAACCTTGACATGCAGATATTTACTTTGAATTAAAAACTCTGAAAAGTGGAGCAAAGCAACAMATTTTGAAGCCAGTTTTAAAACTAATGTGCTTTTCCGCTTTTAGGTATACCCCTTCAGGAGGGTCTGTTCTGACAAACACATATATMACTTCCTGATTATCTTTGGGTGTAGGTGTGTTTGACGCTGACCAGCAGTTAAACACCCTGATAGCCTGCTGCCTGGACAAATGCTGCACAAGGTCCAACAGTTATGTTGCTGCCTTACTGTTTCTTTCCTGCAATGAACACACTGGTCTTTACTTCTGAATTAAACAATGATTGACCATGCATTTACTTCTCTTTTGCTCTTGATATTAACTTTAAACGCTAGTTGAATAGCTAATTATTACCAGCCAGAGCAGGCTGTTTATATTTTATGTGCTGTATACCAATAAGATCGAAATACATATGACATTAGAAAGAAAGGTTATTTTGTGCTTTTGAAGCAGAAGTAAGGATGCAACAACTGAGCCGTTTTCCACACGCCTACGGTCCGTACTGCATAGGACAAATATGGACGTTTGAGTCCTAATCTGGTCGAGGCTGGGATCTGTCAGAGCACACAGACTGAGCTGAATTTGCTCCTGTTCTGACTCTGTCACRTTCCCCAGTCTGTTCTGCTTCATATTGAGCCATGCCGTCCTGTCTGCCGGTGAGTCCTKCATGAAGGACGAAACAAGGTGTGCTTGCCAGACAGAAGCAACTCTAACCATTTTAATGTTACATCATCCCGGACAAGAAGACCATTGACTCACCACTCCTGATTGAGTTAACTGGCTCCTGGTGGAAATATGTTTGATCACWTGAGCAGTCTTGTAGTACAGTGAGTGGGTGTTGGTGGTAGGAGTGCAGCTAACTCGAGAGGTATACTGCGCAGGTTTTAAAAGAAATTAATRAATTAATCCTGTAGTAGGCTGTTATGAGTGGATAGAGTATATAAATGGGATTTGATGAAGCCAGCGGAGCAATGACTGACTGTTATTAGCCTGTTAATGTTCTGCTATTGTTATTTTATTATACACTCTCATCTAGTTATTTTTCAGAGCTCGGTTTAATTGGGTTTTACAACAGTGTTGTGACCTCAGTGGGATGAATTTGTTGACCAATGCAGAACAATACTTTTTCTTTTTCTTCTGTACTTTGGATTTGTTGTATTTCGAACGGTCAACTGGACTCACTTGGGAAGGGATACCCCCCTGCAACCCCACCCCCCTCCAAAAAAAAAAAAAACCAGAAACCAATTGTTCAGGTTTGCTTTAGGATTAACAAAACAACAGCAGAATTTTTTTTCCCACAACACATTTCTTTATATTCACCTTTAGGGTCGTTGGTTCTGGAGGGTGCGCAGGAACAGGGTTCTCGATAACTACCCCATGCCCATCAGYCACTTCTGGAGGGGTCTTCCTGGTGACATAGATGCTGCTTATGAAAGGCACGACGGCAGGTTCGTCTTCTTTAAAGGTAAGAGACAGCATTACATAAACACGCCAATGCATTCATGCTGTTGTAGGGGTTTTGGGTATGTTAACATGATAATTTATGAATTATTAAAATTCATAAATTATATTCCTCGGAGGCACCACTTCCCTTAATCTTGTTAAGAATTATAACCCAGGAAAGAGAAGAGAAAACTGTAACTTTATTAAAATGATCTGTCTCAAATCAGTACCCAAAATTACTTGAGTTCTTGTCTTATCAAGTCAATAAAATTTTATCAAGACACACAGAAAGACATTAGCTTATGTTGACCCGTTCTCCACGGGTCATTTATTTACAAATTAAAATGTATTTACAGGCTATGGCAAGTATGAAATAATTACATGTTGAACCAGGTAAATACTGAAATATTTGAGCAATGACCATTGAACAAATAAAACAAACAAACAAACAAACAAACAAATAAAACTAAAAAGGGTTTTGAGGCGAAATGAGGGGAGATTTCCTTAAAAATGAGAATTTAAGCTAAGTCCTAGTTAAATTCACTAAAACTAAGGGAGCGCTGTAAAGTTTAGATTTATCAAAGCTCATACAAAAATAAGGATCAATTATAAACTGAGCATCTGAGAAACCTTTGTCAYCAGCAAACTGTTCAGTTTCCTACCCTTTTACTTCTGCTAATTGCGGTACCAGGAGGAGGGCGTCGGCTAACAGAAGAACTCCAGGTGATGTCCCCAAAGAACTGCTTCATTATAGTGGCCTGTCAGACACTCGGGATGTCTGTGAGTTTCTGGTCCTTCAGTCAGAAACGGGGTGACCATCTGGTGAAGGTAGGGAGACCTTGTCTCTCCGTTGGATGCTTCAGAGCGAGAGTTGACCCAGACTTCGTAGAGTTAAAATGGATTAACGACACATGGAGTTAACATTAGCTTATTTCGCTTCCTATAAAAATTAAAGCTCATGTGTTGAGCTGACGTGGTATTATTGAAGTGGTGACGGTTATCAGGATTCTCAGGTGAGTCAAAGTGAAGCAGATTTGGATTGAAACAGACAYACGAGGCAGTATACAAAAGGTAAGTGTTTTTATTTACAGTGGAGGTCTGGACGGGGATCTGGGAGGGGCTGTAAAGTCAAATTTAGACATCTGCGTTGAAGATGGAATAGATAAAATAAACTGGAAGCCACTTTTAGGCATATACATAATATTATGTTAACAAACTGATCAAACATATAACTTAGTAGTAATTTGGATATACAAAAATTGTATAAGTTGGCATAAGTTGTCTAAAACATAGCGACAGGGCCTTTAGTAAACAATTAGTCTCATATAAAACATATAAACAACTATTTGTTTTGTTGTATTACACTACATTACATGTGTTTAATTAGGACTCATATTGAATCTTTTATGTTTAAGAGCTGCATCTATTCATGTCTTATTGGTTTTTGCTGCTTTGTTATCTTAAACATATCAGATTGTTGGCATATTGTACATGCATATTATTTTTGCCACAGATACACAACCATAATTACTAAGAATAAAAAATAAATAAATACAATCATCTGCACTGTGGCTTAAAGGATACAGTGTCTGAATTTTTAAATATTCAGTCCAGATCTTATTATAAGTCACCCAGTCTGATTTAAGTATAAAACAATTCATCTCATAAAAACATTTTCTGTATTAAATATTTATACTCAAAAATATTGCGGTTTTATGAGCATAAGGAACATAATCATGCAAATATTCCTTATACCACATATTTATACTGTCTTTACAAAGAACTTACCCACCATCTTTTTTTTTTCTTTAGAATTCAAACTGTTATATATTTTCCTCGTCACTTCAAACCWTAGTGCCCTAACACTATCACAGAGYAGCAGTAAAATGGAGCCTGAAACTCCACTGTTTGCAGATAATATTCTCCACCTCYATAAGAAAGCAGCCATTGGTAATGTATTCTACATGCAGAACATAAATCTTTTTTAGCACGGCCTGTTATTTTATACAGTGAGAGCAGATTGCTTTTTATAACTCTCGATGGAAGTCATTGAACGAGAAAGGAAGAACCCAGCCTTTAATTGTGCTTGACTCTGGGAGCTTCAGGCTCTGGGGCAGCTGTTGATAATGTGGAGGATGATGTCATTGGCAAGCCTCTCAGTGTGACACTTGGCTATGAGCCATTAACAAGGGAAGGGCCAGACAAGGGCGAGGGTAGGGGAGAAGAAAGGAAGACCTAGCACTACAGTAGAAGGGGTGAGGTAGTGATCAGATGTATATTAGTAATAAATGAGTTCATCAAAGGAGTCAGTTTCACTTTACTTTTACCTTAATCTAAATACCAGAAAGTGGTCTTCTTACTGTACAGACATTAGGCTGTTTTGTTGAGTTTGAGAACATTTTCACATCAGTCATTAAAACTATACAATGCTAATGTCACCTGTTACGGTCAAACAAAGACTATTTCTATTTACTCAGAATTAAATTTAGAAGCAAAATAAAAACACCAAATACACATACAGTGTTTTAGACTGATTGAAACTATGATATTCTTGTATTTGATTGGTGCAAAGTTGAATGTTTCTGTATATATATGTATATACTGTATATTGGACTTGACGGTTGTTGAGCTTAAGGGATGCCTCACCTTGCTTGGATTTTTTTTCAGGTGAAAAGTATTTGAGAAAATTCATGTATAAAGCATCTTTCTGAACATTTTTATTCCAGGATGAGTAGATTTCCCCGTTTCTAAATCACCATCTGGGGAACAGTAGTTTTATTTTTATTAAATTTAAAATAAAAATGGTCAGTTTTCTGTAAACGTGTTTATTGGTGCGTACATGAGTCCCTGTTCTAACAAACCTGACTAAAAACAACGAATAGCAGTTTTTCATCCWATTTTGCAATGACCCATTGGTTTAAACCCTATGAAATATCTAAAATATGCACAGCAGTCATTCTTGGAGAAGCTTTGTTCTWTAGATGAAAACAGAGACATTGTTAAAACTAATTTACTGTGTTTTAAAAGTGTTTCTCAAATCAACAATCTAGATGAAAAATTAGAGGTAGAGATTATGCTATAACAGAAAAAAACATTTTCAGTAATGCAAATAATGWACATGCAGTACATGACTGAATGCATGGATTGTCTTTTAATCAGCATCTAAGTGGAAAACGTGTATATTAAGCAAGAAGCAAGGGGTTAAAGTGGGCTGGTGTGTGTTGAAAGAGCAAGGGATAAAAGCACAAAAAATAATGGTAAGGATAATAATGGAATATCTTACCCCAGAACAACCCTTCCTTTTCTATAGTTTAACWTTATAAAAAAACAGCAAAACCTCCCCCTAAAAAGTATACTGTATATACGTATGTTGCTACAGACAGCCTATTACAAGACCAGCCACTCCTTATTGYCAATTACAAGCCAAATCCAAACTTCTTAGTCAGTGAGGTCATTCTTACTCCTATGTTTTGATTGCTCGCCAACAAATCATTACTGCATTTTTATAATTTCCAAGTGTTGTTGAGGACTGTTTTGATTTCTGAGATTGTTTTTTGCCAGGATTGCCAGTAATTGAAATRCACCGGCACATGTGTTTCTTTGCCTGCCAGAATATGAATTTGTGCAGTTATTCTCAACATATAGGTAACCAAGTGCACATGTCATTTATACAGCATGCTCAGGATTGTGTGTGTTAACAGTCTTTCCATAAGGTTTATATTTGGCAGTGAAAGGGGAATAACCTGAATGTAAATATATTTAAAAAAAGCACATATAAAGCCCTTTTCTTCTTTTTTCTTAGGAAACAGGTTTTGGCTTTTCAGAGAGGCAAACCTTGAACCAGGGTATCCACTAGAGCTGGTTGACTTCGGTCAAGATGTTCCATATGACCGGATAGACACGGCTATCTGGTGGGAACCAACAGGCTTCACTTACCTCTTTCAAGGAGACCAGTAAGTACGCTCTCAGTCACATAAAACCTCTGTCATTCACMTGCTACACAGTTTTAGCCACAACAGCAGCAGGCTTTGGTCAGAGTTAGTGATTTCTTGAGCCAGTCCTTACAGGGCTATCAGAAATTAAAGAATAATCTGCCACAAAATGTTGCATGATACGGAATCAAACTTTAATATTCTCCCAATTTTCCCCATTATGCCACTATCTTTTTTAGTTTTTATTTATTTATTTTTATCCTTTTTATCATCAAATAGCCACAGAACCATTATTGTACAGGTGGTGTGTTTTTAAGTAATAATATTTTTAGTAGGCTTTACATTTTCTGCACTGCTCTATGCAAATAAATGTMCTGATGAAGGAGCAGAAACTATTACAACACCTTAAGTCATGAGAACACACTGAACTSTACGACACAGATATAGCAATAACACAATATTCTTAGAAAAATAATCAGACTGTAGGTCTAAACTGTCTGGTCAGACCTCTGTTAGCAAAGTGTGCCGGCTGGCTGTATTTATATTGAGTACAGATTGAAATGTTCTGTAGGAACAGTTTATGTAGCGTCACTACATGCTTTTCTTGGTAAGAAGTCTGATTTGTTTAGAAAGAGGATAAACAACATAAKCTCCCTTACTACCCCCTTCTTGTTGCTATGTACAGGTACTGGCGCTTCAATGAGCAGTCTCGTTTGGCTGACAGAGGCTATCCAAAGTCCATAAGAGTGTGGGACTCCTCAGTGCCTCATACTCCCAAGGGTGCCTTCCTCAGCGATGACGGAGGTGAGTTTAGACTGCATGAGAGGTTTCAGTGAATGAGTGTGTGTGAAAAAACTAAAATAAAGGTTCAGAGAGTAGTGGTACTGTCATCAAGAGAGACAATCACGTTGGGAAAGGACTTTCAGCTAATGTGTGCAGTGTTATTGGTTCACTTGTTCAGGGTTGAAATGAAAATYGATCACATTGAATTTCTCCTCAATAACATAGTGTCCCATTTCAGTATTGACTGATGTGTTTTGCTGTCTTTGCATATTTCAGCATACACCTTCTTCTATAAGGGTTCAAAGTACTGGAAATTTGACAACCATCGTATGAAAAGTGAACCAGGCTTCCCTAAGTCCATTCTGAGAGACTTTATGGGCTGCAGTGTGGACCTGGACCCTGACCGAGACACAGACACCGGGCGCAGATACCCCGACGTAAACCGTCCACCGTTCAACCCGGACGCAGGACGTGACGGTGATAAGGGCAAAGATCGGGACAGAACAGACCGAGAAGACACGGACAGAGACACAGGCAAAGGGTCGGACAAGGACAAGGACAAAGACGAGGACTACCGAGAGGGTCGGGAAGAAGACACCAATGAGGTGGACGTGGTGCTGAAGGTAGACGACAGTGAGGAACGGACCATGAACATTCTGATAGTGACCATCCCTCTGGTCCTGGTGCTGTGCATCCTGGGACTGATTTACGCCATCATTAACACGCTGCAGAGCAAAGGGGCACCTCGGCTGCTCGTGCACTGCAAACGCTCGCTGCAAGATTGGGTCTGACCCTGGCCACAAGGAGGCACTGAACTTGAACCTGACTTAAGATACCTTCTCTTCTCCAACCTAAGCCTCCTCCCASTGACCCATTTGTCTCAAGTCTCTGCGCTCAGTGGCTCCTGCAACTCTTAAATCCAAACCGTACGGATAMACAGGCACTCACAAACTATGAGCAAACATGAATAATGTCTTATATTTACACACACTGACATACACACCGCCTCACCTCCCTCGTTTCCCATGGTGCTCTACTACACCAAGACTGTAGTCTATTTATAATAGAGTACTTTGCACATTGTTTTTAGTTTTTATTTTTTGGTTCATCCTGTGTGAGAATTGTTATTGTTGTTATTATTTGTAAATCAGGAAGGCCGTTCTACTCTCTCTCTCGTTTTTGTACCGCCCCCTGGCTTTTCGAGATATCTTGACATCTGTTTATATCATTTCACTTCCTACAGAGGGAGAAAGTTCTGAGATTCATAGACAAAGCTTTTTGCTTGATGTAAGGCTGAGTAGCATCTTGCCCTTCCCCCATTATCTCTAATATCTCTTCCATCTTTAGTATCATATGTTAAGTACATGACAGTGAGTTGTACTGTAACTGGACTTGGTCACTACAGATATTTTAATGTAGTTAAAAGTGAAGATCTCTTATGAGCTCATTATTACTTTGCTTTTGAATCACTGTGATCCTCTTTGAGAGCAAATCTAATCAGCTTCTYCATTTAGAGTTTTCTAAYCTTTCATTGAAACTTCTTTTATTCTCTTATTTTGCCAACTCAACAGGACATGAGAAGAGTAATACGGCTTCACAGTTTAGTGTTTTATAGTAGTGCTCTGATATTTGAAGTAGAAATCCTTACCCATAGCATTAATGGTTGGTTATACCTGTGCAATTTCTTTTAACATGTAAAAATGAAAAAYAATCCCCATCAAAGGGAGACATCTTTGACTGGAAGGAGCCAACAGTGTTCCACGATTAGCTCTAAATTTTGCTGGTGCACACCACAAACCTTGTGTTCTTGTAGTTCTGGTACTATTTAGATTAGGTGCTAGTTKTGTGAAGCTGATTGAAGTGTCAGCAAATACTATGTGTACAAATGCAACATATMCAGTCATGGGTTAGAAAATTATACTCAGGTTGCAGTTAACTGTATTATTTTTAATRTTTGGACAATGAAAACCTTGTTTTCCTTCATGATGTTGTACTTTCTCAGTTGGATTACTGATCTTTTTCCCCTTATATGGAAAGTATTTAGAGCTCCCTGTCTTGAAGGATAAACAGACTCCTACCTTTGCTTTCTCTTACAAGGCTGAGTGTTGCTCCTCTCTTTCAACAATTATATGTTTCTCTTTGTGCTACATTGAGAGATGAACAAATGCAACAGTTGGCTCACGGCGACACAGGGGAGTGAGTGTTAAACTTGATTAGTGCAGCTAATGTCCCTCACACRTTCTAACATATTGTCAAGTATTTCATACAAAAGACAACCTAAGAATGAAGACTGATGGCCAGTCTGTTGGAAATATAAGGTATCCATTATCACCAGGGTGGGCTTGGTTCTCTCRGGCCCATGTGAGCAAAGACTAATCCTCTTCATTAAAAGCAGCAGATGTATACAAAAGTCTTTAACCCCCTGAGACCTTTGACCTAAACATTTAATTCCCCGAATCAAGACTCTCTCTTCTGTTTCATCTGGCAAGAACAAAGAAAAAGCAGAGGAAGAATTTTTTTTTCTAAATTCTCATTATTTCAGCCTTGTAGTCATGCTTTTAAACATCTACAACTACAGACCAACCATGGTTATCAGATGAGGATGTATTTTTATTCCCACAAATCAAATCCACCTTTAATTTTTATACATAATCCTATTTAGGTATGGTAACTTACAATTATTTGTAAAAAATGACTAGTTTGTTTAATACTTTTGCTTAAAATTGTGGTAAAGGTGAGCAAAACCAAAGACGAAGTTCTTTATTGCATTGAAGTCTAAAAACCAGGTTAGACTGAGTTAGACTGTGAAATTTAATTTGAAAGAAGGAARGTCTTATCTATCGGAGGGGGCCGGGTTTCTCAGATATGGCCGGGCAGGGTGAGGAGGGTATTTCTGTCCTGTGGCTGAAAATGGGGGAGGGGGGAAGAGGGAAGGAGGTTGACTCTTCCTGAGCTTGCAAAGTTTGGATCTCAGGAACAAGGAGGGGTCAGAGGAACAGGATAGAGGGAGAGAGAAGACCGGCAACGCACCAAATYCTCCTGATAGCGCAACAACAACACAGGCCAAGTAGGAACATGCAGTCCCTTTATGTTGAAAGCCTTTGCTTGTGGACCTTTAWTGAAAGCTGCTTCTTGCTGTAAAGCCTGAATATTACTAGCATTCACGTTTCTTTTGAAACATTTCAGAGAAACCACCACTACAGCTCCTCTTAAGTGAAGGCAGGTCAAGGTGGGACACCTAAGCAGAGTTTACAGGGTGCTTGTACTGACAGAAGTCTGGAGATTGATTTGAGGCGGGTCGATTGCAGTTGCTAGGAAGCGGTGTCCTGTGTCCATCATTCACCTCATCATTGGGACTTTGCAGATGGGGGTTGGCGGACGCAAGCTAATCAGCGTTAAAAGCATTGTCCTCCTCGTCCTGCATTTCCATTTGCCCGACCGGCACATCGGTGAGCGCTCAGACAGCCGAGCGTCTGGACAGGCTCAGAAACTGCAGACTCACTGCATTAGACACTAATAGAGTTTATCAACTTGGCTTCTCTCTCTGACCTCCAAACAACCACATCAAAGCCGAGCTATCCATCTTGAATAAGCTGAGTGGGCCTGAGGTTGCTGTCCTTGAAATCACTGCTGTGCATTTGTGCAGTTTCAGAGGAATTCCTGAGTTTAGTCTCCACAAATTGACTCAGGACTTCAGGCGGGAGACAAGTGCTGAGAGAAATGTGTCATAGCTGATTGATGCGAGCCTTCGTGTGTCGAAGTGTTCAGTTAATCAGCCCCTCTCTCCGTCAGCGAGCTGTTTTCTGGTTGTAAATCTCCCAGCCCCTCCGCATAACTCAGCCCGGTCCTCTAAGCCTCAAAGGGATCGTAAGAACAACAATGGTCCGCACTCTTTCCCCTCCCTCTGTTTTCTCTCTCTTCCTGATGCCTACTCACACAAACACATTATTGTCTCCCCCCCAGCCTCACCCCCTCCTCCTTCCCACTAGGAAACTAGTCCAGGCTGAGGTCTAAACCTGTTTGTAGATTCACACTCCCAGTTCAACCATGGATGGATTGGCTTAAAAAAAATAAAAACAACAAACCTGTCAGGTTTGTTACAATCGTTTTAGATTTAGAATCAGATTGAGAYGCTTCAAATAAATAAATTCATTTTGAAGCATCAAACCCTGACGTAAGTGTAGGGAAGTTTAGGGCATGCTGAGCTCATTTGTCTCAGGATGTGTTACTGTAAACACTACGGTTCTGACTGCTCAGCACAGGCTTCTTTTCTTTTTCCTTTTGTCCAGTTTTTTTTTTTTTCTTTTTAATGAACATCTCTGTTTAACCCCATTCAATCAGAAGTCAGGTATTCTAGTTAGCTATTAATGAGTGTATGTTTTTCATTCTTCAACTATCTCAACACTGTGTGAAAAACCGCAAGCTTCCAGTAGTCGCTGCTTCAGAGCTGTGTGGAAACTAAATGATAACAGAACAGACTTCAAAGGATTTTTAGAAATCACTCAATAACTGTGTTCTGTTTCAGGTTTTCTTTTTCAGTAAACCTCAACAGCTTACAAYGACTCAAACCTAAATGACAGCAGGTTGTCAAGATGCTTCTTCTTTTACTTTTTTCCTCCCAGAATGCATCTCAGCCAGCTCACTGAGTTCATCCTCTCAATGAAAACCACTCGTTTTAAATCACCACTCGACTAACTCGAACCACTCACTGTGGAAATGGAACAGAAAAGAAGGCTGACAAATGACTTTCAGCATCTGTGAGAGTGCAGCGGATCTGCGCTCCGCGTGCTTCACTCAGACATTGGAACTGTTGAGCAGCCTCCTTCAGAAAACTGCCTCCATCTTCTTGTTGCAGCTACAGCAGAGAGGAGAGTTGAACCATCAGGTGTAGAACCTGGCATCTCATGTTAGGTCTTTTAAATTTTGTGATTTTTTTTTTTTCTCGTTGTCATCTCTGCCTGGGATGAGAGGGTGGCTGTAATGTAACAGCTTTTCACAATGAAGAGGTTATTGTTTTATCTTTTAGAAGACTTTTGGTCTGATGTTGGTTTACTTTTCCTCCTATTTTTTTTTAACTGATAATTTGATGTTAATAACATTCCAGTTAGATGTTTGGAGGTGTTATTAGTGTTTTTCTTTTTTTTTTTCTTTTAGAAATTGTTAAAATTTTATACATTTGTTTTGTGTGTTCACCTCTAGTTGAGTGTGTTAACAAGCCATGCTGGACATGTACACATTAAAAATTGCTGTGAAAAAAAAAGTTCAAGCTTCGTCTAAAGATTCCTGTGGAGTAGCTGAAGCAGCAAATGCTTTGTTTCTTTTCAGAGCAGGATAGAGAATCATACAACTACGCACACTTACTGCACACACCTTCTACTCTTCCTGAGGTGAGGTCACTGTCCAAAGGGCCCAGTTTCCTGTCTCACACGGGACAGGCAGCAGAATGGCCTTATGGGTCTTAAGGGGGAGGGGAAAGTGGTCCCTGGCAGCTCTCCAGGAAGCCACATGAACTGGAAGGAAGCTAACAGGCTCCTCGAATAGCCTAAGAAGCTGAACAGGCAGTGGTGTCACACTGAGAGGAAATACATTGTTCTCAATACCGATATGGATTTTGTCCCAACAGCATAATTGCTTCACACAGGACTGCAGACTTTAATTAGATGTTTCTGTGACTGCAGAAGGAAATGACACTTACCCTCYTCTCTTTAGTAGTGTAATAACTAAAGATTTATGCCACTGTGTTTGTCTTCACTTGAATCCTGCAAAGCATTTATAAAGATGTTGGTGTTGGCGACCTACACATATGACTTTATGAGGCGCCCCTTGTGTCATTTTCTAAAACTCACTGCCAGTTTATTTACATTCTTAGATTAATAATGTTTGATAWTATTTTTTTTATCTTTAGAAACAAGTTGTCCAACTAAAATAGTTAACAGTATAATTAATTTGGAACAGAATACCAGACGTTTACCTCACACCTGCCAATACCTGCTGACAGCAATGAGGAACACCTGTTAATGTTAACAAGCAGCTGTGGAGTGAATCAGTTCTAGGGGAGGTCCAGGGTATATATCTACTTAAAACGACATTTTCCAGCTATTTTCTTGCGATTATTAAAACAACATAAAATCATTATTTTATGAAAATAGACCACTGAAAACCAGACGTTTACCTGAGTATTATCTGAGATCAYAATTTAAACTTCCATCATTTTTATCTTGCTTTTTATTTCCATACTGAGCACCAGTAGTCACTCTTGACTGTGTGATACTTTTATCATAAAATATCCTCTAATAACACTATAACACTTCATGAAGTAACAAAGCAGCTGAGAAACTCACAGAACAAATTACCTTCATAAACTTGAGTAACCAGGGATTTTTTAAACTATTCCAACTTTACTCTGACAAGAAGTTTTATATA